TTCCGCTCCGTGTGGAGTCCAAAAAGCTGGCGCCTAGATATGTGGGGCCCTTTAAGATCGACCGGCGGATCAACCCAGTCACCTACCGGCTACGCCTTCCGCCCCATGCGGATCCACCCCGCATTTCACGTGTCGCGCCTTAGGCCGTTCCTTTGTGGGACTCGGCCCCCAGCACCGCAGCTTGTTGCTGGCTCCCCGGCTTACACGGTCCGCCGCCTCCTGGACTCCCGCCGTGTGCAGGGTGGCATCCAGTACTTGGTAGACTGGGAGGGCTACGGGCCTGAGGAGCGTCTTGGGTTCCGGCACGCCATATCCTGGACCCGGAGCTGATTAGGGAGTTCCGACAGACACACGCTGCTGGCCTTGGGACTTCTGGGGCTGTCCCTAGGAGGGGGGGGTCCTGTAAAGGTTCAGCCTGCGCCGCCTGCTGCCAGCAGAGGGCGACGGCGGCAGGGTGTCCAGCCTGCGCCGCCAGCTGCCTGTCTAATAGTCCATTTTTCTCAGTTAGTTAATTAAAATATTTTCTTTTGGTAGAAAATTATGGTTTACGGTCATCAGCAAGTAGGTTTGATGGCTCCCATAAAAAGTTAAACCAAATTACGGTTTGCTGGAGAAATGAGTAAAAATGCGCTCATCTATTGGTTGCGCAAAAACACTCTTATTGCTGCATGATCTGATGTTCTAGTGTAAACGTTAGTCATCGCACTGTGGAATTTTCTGTTGATTTCTGTTTGATATGTTTTCCTTTTATCTTATTCCTCATTTGCAGAGTTGTGTTATCTGTATGCTGTGTTGTTTAAACTGTAATGATGATGGGTTTTTTATTCCTTTTAAGGGTTCCCCTAAAGGGTTCTTTAGTAAAGAAAATGGTTCTATATAGAAACATGAACACTCAAAGAACCATTTGCACGATTAAAAGGTTCTTTGCATCATGAAAGCGTTCTTCAGAATGTGTTGTAGATGGTTCTATACAGAACCTTTTTGAAAAGGGTTCTCTATAGCACCCAAAAGAGTTCTTCTATTGTTATGATGTTAAGCTTCACTCCTAAATGGTTCTTCAAGGGTTCTTTAGTAAAGAAAATGGTTCTATACAAAACCATGAGCACTCAAAGAACAATTTGCATGATTAAAAGGTTCTTTGCATCGTGAAAGGGTTCTTCAGAATGTGTTGTAGATGATTCTATACGGAACCTTTTCGAAAAGGGTTCTAAGTAGCACGCACAAAGGTTCTTCTAGTGTTACAATGTCAAACCTCACTGTTGAAAAAGATGGTTCTTCAAGGGTTCTTTAGTCAAGCAAATCGTTCTCAAAAACGCTTGCATGATTAAAGCGTTCTTTGCATTTTTTTTCAGATTGATGGAAAATGTGCATGAATGTGCTGTAAATGGTTCTGTATAGCACCAAAAAGGGTTCTTCTGTTGTTATAAGCTTGACACTATAACAATAGAAGAAACCTTTTGGGTGTAGAACAATTTTCACAAAGGTTCTATATATATCCATCTACAGAACAAACTTACCATCATCAATTTGAAGAACGCTTTCAACATGCAAAGAACCCTTTAATAATGCAAAGGCGTTTTCATGGTTCTGTATAGAGCCATTTTTTGACTAAAGAACTGTTGAAGAACCATCTTTTTAAGGGTATATAGTATTAACTGCTGAAGGGTCTGTATATATTTCAATTTATGATACTCTGACAGATGTAGATTTTGCTGTATTGATTAACTCCAGAGTAGACTGCTGGTCTTCTAGGCCTTATAAGGCAGCCCTTGTAACTTCCCCTGCCACCCATGTCATCAGAGGTCATGAGCAGAGGTGCCTTCAACCCGCAAAATGAGTATATAAATGAGTATATAACAGGCACGGTGAAAGCCGAAGGCAGACGGGGCTACGGCAGGTTGATGTTCCAGCACACTCCACATTAATAAGGCAATAAGTCACTAGAGGCTGTGCGATTTTATAATGGGATGGGGGGTTTCCCTGTGATAAAATCACAGTAACACACAGCCTCAAATGGCTTATTTTTCATAAAATAATTTAAGTTTCGTGGCTTTCTGAGACATGCTCAAACTTTAAGGTTTTCTAGATTTAAAATGTAGTGATGTGGCTCAGATTGCATGGTTATATTACGAATTCAGCCTGAGTGAGCTCCCAGTTTATTCAGAGGGAAGGAGGCTAATGTTAAACATGATAAAAGCATAGAAAAAAACAGTTACAGACATTAATTTGGTCAGAAACATCCTCAAACCTTAAAAAGTACCTGAATTGAGTAAATGGAACTATTTACTGCACATCTCTGCTGTGGGGACATTGTGTAGGTGGTTGTGGAGTGATTTGTGGTGAGCAGTTTGCAGGTATCTGAACCTAACACTTTCCTTGGTAGTACCTAGAATGTAGGGCACCATCAAAAAAAACTTGAACAAAAAGTGAACTTTAAACCTCAGAAACAGTAGAAACAGAAGTAGGCAGCAGGTTAAGATGCTGCTGAATTTCTTTCTCATTGTTAATTATAACAATGCAATTCACTCTCAGAGAATCTACACAGTATCATTTTGGAATATTTGTATGCTACTTGATTACAGCAGCGATATGTAAAAGCATGAAGAGTTCAAATCATTTAAATGTAAACAGTTATGAAGTATCACATAAATTCACTGATCCAGAATAACCCAAGAGCTCAACCACTGAATCAACTGATGTTTTAGCTAAAAACATTACAATTTATTCCACTTGTGCTGAGGTGACCAGCTGCTTCTGATAGGCATCAAAACTATTTCATGTACTTGGCAACCATCACTTTTTATGTAGGTAGTTCTGATTAGGCTAAAATTAAGAATAATATATGGGATAAATGGTCTGTCACTCAATATAAGTGTGCATATGTTGTTAGAAGAGGAGAAAAAAAAATATTTTATTGGCCTGTTTGTATTTGCATGTAAAGTCAACTTAAATAAAAAAGTGAATATAATACATTTAAATAAAGTTACCTTAACTTAAAATATACTAAAAAGCTGTCTTACTCAAAATGACCGAGTTACTATCTCGACAATTAATTTTTGAGTTAGTTTTGAATTTTCAGATGAAGTTACTCCACTTTTCTGTAGTATTTAAGTTGTGTTAACTTAATTATTTCATTAATATGTGCAGTTGGATTTTACAGTGTAGCTGTGAAATAACCCCCCAAATTGCTCTGTCTTATGGGGTCCCTTTTCTCTAGTGGGATGTCCAGGACCCCCTCAGCCCCCCTGAATTTGAACTAAAGGTACAACCCCATTTCCAAAAAAGTTGGGATGCTGTGCAAAATGTAAATAAAAGCAAAATGCAATGGTGTGCAAATCATTTAAACCCTATATTTATTTGAAAATGCTACAAAGACAACATATTCAATGTTGAAACTTTGAAATTTTTGTGAAATTTTATTGTTTTTTGAATAATATTTGCCCGTTTTGAATTTGATGCCAACAACACGTTCCAAAGAGGTTGGGACGGGAGTAACAAAAGGCTGGTAAAGTTGTGTAATGCTAAAAAAAACACCTGGTGGTTAATTGACAACAGGTCAGTAACGTGACTGTTTATAAAAAAACATCCGAGAGAGGTTGAGTCTTTCAGAAGTAAAGATGAGGAGGGGTTCACCACTCTGTGAAAGACTGAGTGGGCAAATAGTGCAACAATTCAAGAATAACGTTTCTCAACATAAAATAGCAAAGAACTTCTGCTTTTCATTATCTACGGTACATAATATCATTAAAAGATTCAGAAAATCCAGAGAAATCTCTGTATGCAAGGGACAAGGCTGAAAAGCAATGTTAGCTGGCCATGATGATGGTCCTCTGGCAGCACTGCATTAAAAACAGACACAATTCTGTAGTGGAAATCACTGCATGGGCTCAGAAACACTTCTGAAAACCACTGTGTGTGAACACAGTTCATCACTGCATCCACAAATGCAAGTAAAACTCTAAAACACAAAGAAGAAACTGTACATAAACAGGATCCAGAAATGCTGCCGCCTTCTCTGGGCCCAAGCTCATTTAAAATGGACTAAGTGGGGGGAACAGTGTCCTGTGGTCCGACAAGTCAACATTTGAAATTCTTTTGGAAATCATGGACACTGTGTCATCTGGGCTAAAGCTTGTTATCAGGGCACAGTTCAAAAGCCAGTATTCATGATGGAATTGGGGTGCATTAGTGCACATGGCATGGGTGATGTGTACATCTGTGAAGGCACCATTAATGCTGAATGATATATACATGTTTTGGCAATATATGCTGCCATCCAGGTGACGTCTTTTTCAGGGAAGGCCTTGATTATTTCAGCAAGACAATGCCAAACCACATTCTGCATGTATTACAACAGCATGGCTCTGTATTACAAGAGCCCGGATGCTAAACTTGCCTGCCTGCAGTCAAAGACCCACTGATAACATTTGGCACATTATGAAATGAAAAATATGAAAAATTAGCCCCTAAACTGTTGAGCAGCTGAAATCCTATATCAAACAAGAATGGGAAAACATTCCACTTTCCAAACTTCAGCAACTGGTCTCCTCAGTTCCCAAACACTTTTAGAGTGTTGTTAAAAGAAGAGGTGATGAAACACAGTGGTTAACTTGCCCCTGTCCCAACTTCTTTGGAACATGTTGTTGGCATCAAATTCAAAATGAGCATATATTTTTCAAAAAAACAATAATTTTGCAGTTTTATCATTTGATATGTTGTCTTTATAGTATTTTCCTTTAAAAATAAGGTTTACATGATTTACGTATCATTGCATTATATTTATATTTACATCCTGCACAGCGTCCCAACTTTTTTTGGAAATGGGGTTGTATTTTCATTTGAAAATAGTTAGTGAAAGCATCTTGAAGTGATTTAATGGAACACTATTTAGAACATTGGGTAGGTTGTTTTGAAGCAGTTTGTGGTGAGCAGTTTGTGGTGAGCAGAATGTCTTTGCAGGTCACTATAAAAACAGAGGGGTGCAGCAGAGCAGCGGATAAAGTCAGGGCACATCTTTAGAACATTACCTGCAGGTAAGTGCTGAAATGTACAGTCCCTTTAGTTCCAGATACTCACCAGGTACTACTCTAAAGTAGTTGTGATTATTTCTATCACTTTACTTTTCACAGTGTATATCCAGAGCAATCTAACTAAATTATACTGCAACGCTCAATATCTCTCTGCATATTTTAGTGCACAGTTTCTATGTATTTTTTAACATATTGGAAAAATTAAAACATACAACATAAAATGTGCCTCACATTTGTATTTGCATTTTTTGTTTTCAGTATGTTAAATTCTGTAAATAAACAGCAATTGTGCACTAAAATTTGCAGAGTGGGTGTTTTCTGTAGAGGATGTGTTCACTTATTTTGACTCAGGAAATCAACCCATCATTTGACCTGGGGTGCCCAAACTTTTGCATACATCTGTATAATAGTAATCTCTGTATAATAGCACAGATTACATGGTACTGGGGGGAGGACGGTACTTAAGATTAAGTAAAAATGTTAGATAAAACCACGCAGCCAGTCACTTTAACTTAATATTAACTTAATATGTTTAACTTAATATTCAGATTCAGTTTGTTAGAATAAGTCTGGAGCTAAACTTTGCAGGTGTGGTAGATCTACAGGACCAGGATTGGGCACCGCTGCTTTAGCCTATATGCTACCTCTAGACTGTTTCTTAAGAATAAACTGACTATATTAAAAATCATATATAGTTAAATAAGAATAAGTGTTACCATTAGGTAATAAGCAATTTGCTACTAGTGCCCCCTTTTGGGGAATCGGAATTATTCAGGAGAACAAATTCTGTACATTTTACAAATTGAATATTAAAATAGAACCTTTTACATGACAAATTTGTCTTTTTTTCACAGTTAATGTGACACTTTGTTCCCCTTGTTGAGATTTATATTTTAAAAAGCACTTTGTCATTTTTTATCTATAAATTAAATGAATTTGTGCTACAACACTTGCAGTTTTTATAGCACCAGTGCTACCTGCTCAAAAATTTTCCATACATGATAATAAACAAACATAAATCATAAGAGCTTTGACCTGTATGACTGGAAACATTCATGGAAATTTGTATGGCACTGTATATTATTGTGTATTATGTTGTCAGTACACCCAAACAGGAGAATTACCCTCATATACCTTCATTTATACAGTGTAAAAGTAGTGAAATCTGCTAAATCAGAAGCTTGGCTGAATTACACACTCTGAATCATCAGGATTCAGTCAAAAAAGGATTACATTTTTTAAATAATGCTGGTGTGAATTGACATGAAGTTAAATGTACTTACTGTAAATGTAATTGATTGAAATTGAATTAATGCAATTCAGTTTATTCTGTTCTCTTTCACCTACCAGATTTTATTCTGTGCAGAATGAGGGTTTTACTCGCTGTCACCACTCTTGTGGTCATAGCTGGTGCTGCCAGTGTCTCTCTGGAGGATCTGGAGTTCAACGCTTGGAAACTGAAGTTTGGTGAGAAATCTACATCATATCTGCTTCTGTATAACAAAATCTCTATTTCCATCTCCATCTCAACAGCTTCCACTCTTCTGGGAAGGCACAAGATAGCAGGAGTTTATGGGGATTGGCTTTCATTCAGCCACAAGAGCAATAGTGAGCGTCACACATCTCATGAATCTGATGTTGGGTGATACGTCCTGGAACACAGTTGACATTCCATTTGATCCCAAAGGTGTTTGAAGGGGATTGAGGTTAGAACCTCAGAACAATCAAGTTCTTCCACACCGAGTGTCAGAGTACACTGTAGCATTAAGATTTCACTGGCACTAAAGGGGCCCAAACCAAGAAAAACAGCCCCAGCCCATTATTTCTCCTCCACCAAACTTCTGCATTCGGGCAGGTAGTGTTCTCCAGCATTCTTCAAACCCATCTCAGATTGCCAGATGAAGAATGAATTATCACTCCTGAGTACACAGTTCCACTGTTCCACAGCCCATTGCTGGGGGCCTTTGTAGACCTCTAGCCCATGCTTGTCATTAGGCATGATGACCTTAGGCTCATGTGCTGCTGCTCCAGAGTGTCCCATTCTATTGGTCAGTGCTTTTCTATGGAGATTATTCAAGCTGTCAGTGTGCAGCTGAGTCAGAAATAGGTGCACCATAAACTAGGTGAATTCATTCATTAGAAGGACTGTTTTTGGATACTTTTGGACACATAGTGCATCATTAAACAGCCTGAAATAAATTACGGAATTGTACTGGAATTATTTTTTATGTTCTCAAACCTTGGATATGTGTTTTCTTCTCAAACTCTATGTATATACATGTGCTGGAATAAAATCAGTATATATGTGTGTATGTTTCCTCTCAGGTAAGAATTATGGTTCAGTGGAAGAAGAGTCTCAGCGTAAGATGATCTGGCTGAACAATCTTAAGCTGGTCCTGGAGCACAACATGCTGGCTGACCAGGGCCTCAAAAGCTACAGACTCGGCATGAACCACTTTGCAGACATGGTAAGATCTCACATACAGACAAAGCCACTCAAATGTTTGTAATTTAATTATATAATTCACTGAATCCTGATGCTTTGCAACTCTGTCAGTTATTATGTGTTGTTATATAACTATTGTCAACATCTGGGAAGTAGGTTGTTAAATCCCCACCATCTCTGTCTCCACTCTCCTTCTCCACCATCTTCTCCACCATCTCCTCCACCATTTCCCTCTCCACCTTTTCTTTCTCCACCTTCTCCCTCTCCACCATCTTACTCTCCACTATTTCCCTCACCACCATTTCTCTCTCCACCATCTCCCTCTCCATCATCTTCACCATCTCCTCCTCCACCATTTCCCTCTCTATTATCTCCCTCTCTACCATCTTTCTCCCTCTCCACCTTCTCCCTCTCCACCATCTCCCTCTCCACCTTCTCCCTCTCCACCGTCTCCCTCTCCACCATCTTCCTCTCAACCATCTCCCTTTCAACCATCTTTCACTCCACCATCTTCCTCTCCACTATTTCCCTCGCCACCATTTCTCTCTCCACCTTCTCCCTCTCCACCATCTCCCTTTCAACGATCTTTCACTCCACCATCTTCCCCTCCACTATTTCCCTCACCACCATTTCTCTCTCCACCATCTCCTCCTCCACCATTTCCCTCTCCATCATCTCCCTCTCTACCATCTTTCTTCCTTTCCACCATCTCCCTCTCCACCATCTTCCCCTCCACCGTCTCTTTCTTCAACAGGACAATCAGGAGTATCAGGCCAGGTTCAGCGGCTGCCTGGGATCCTTCAACATGACCAAGGCCACTACTGATGTCAGAAAGGCAGGGGGCACTGATGTACCCAATTATGTAGATTGGAGGAAGATGGGCTACGTGACTGAAGTTAAAAACCAACATCTCTGTAACTCCTGCTGGGCCTTCAGCGCGGTAAGTTACAGAAGGATGGACGAGGATAAAGAAAGGGATGGAGGGATAACAAACAAAAGGAAAGAGGACAGAGCGGATAAGATTATAGAGGTGCTGACACTGGGCAGGGTTTTCATTAGCTGATGAATACTGATTTTTGACCTGAAAAATTTTACAGTGAGCATTTTGTGCTCACCAGTTCAGTTCAAGTTCAAAACAAACAGACCATTCCCTAATCGGACAGCCATAATGTCGAAACACATAGGTCACATGAAAAATAAGGCGGATACAGTGCCCTGCTGCCTCCTGACTAAATACACCTTGAAGGGAATGCAGTCGAAGCTTTAAACAGGAGTTTCTCAGTTTTGGCTTTTCAGATGTGATGGATTTAATATGTCATAACTTGGTCTCTGATTGAGGTATCTTAACATTTTTTAAAAGTAACCTATTTGTCAATTTTGAAAATAAACATTCAAATTCCAAAAAGTCAGAATATAAAAAATAGTATACTGGCAAGTTAAATCAACTTAAATCTACTCAATATGTACAGTATTTCTGTAAGCTTATATATTGTTTAACTTAATAAACTCCTCCCCATTTTTTCAGACGGGGGCACTAGAGGGTCAGATGTTTCGGAAGACAGGGCAGCTGATGTCCCTGAGTGAGCAACAGCTGGTGGACTGCTCCCAGGAATTTGGAAACTATGGCTGTAAAGGCGGTTGGTACTTCAAAGCTTTCAACTATGTCATGTCTAGTGGAGGCCTGGAGACGGAGAACACCTACCCATATCAGGCCAAGGTGAGGTGACACTAGTGACAAGTGGAGCTTCTGTGATGGACAATGTTCCACTGATTACAAATATGAATCCTCAGCTATTATATTTTTGAGTCTGATGTCTGAATCTTTAATTTGCTAATGTAGCTAACAAGAAAAAGGTGCTAACCATAAGCAATAGTGATTACTCAATAACATCAAAAATGTACAAAAGTATGTTAGCATAGCTAAAAACAGTAATAGTAGCCATCTTAAAGCCTAAATTTTGTCCATACTGTCCATATTTGTTGATAACAGTGTGTTGTAACATTATAAACCATATAATCAAGTCTGCTGGAGATTAGCACTGCATGGTTACGGCAAGCATATGAGGATTTGAGCATAGAGTATGGAGCGTACTAACTATACAATAAAATTTGAATCTTTTTGACTTGCTGTGCCACACAGAGGGGCAGAGAATACATGTTTGCATGCATGCTGGGTGTATATTGCATGTAAATATTCACTGAAAAATGTTTTAAAGGCATCAAATGTACATGTTTTTGATAGAAATGTGTGGGAATGCAGATACACTACATTTTGAGCTTTTAATTAAAGCATTCCTAGAAGAAAAAAGTTGAGCATGGTGAGCATATGTATAATTAAGCATTATAGCATTAAATTAAAACATGCCATGAAATCTAGAACACATTACGGCGGAAGGTATATGGGCCTAGGTATGGAATATGTATATATCTGAGCTGAAAATGCACTTCAATTGCAATAATCTTGCCTTAAACATCAGTAGAACCAGGTCTATTTTTTAAGATAAGGTGTAAGATTAACCTCAGTTAAATCTAATATATAGCACCATCTAGTGGTAGATGTGTGTTTTTTAAATTACACATCAATTGGACTTTATTTAAACAGCAGGTGCACTTTAAACTGCAGCTTTCAAGGACACAGCAATGGAGTTCCAACACCCACATGACTCTTTCAGGTTTAAACTCGGGTTAAACTCTAAACTACAACGCAATAACCCCAGTGGAGTATAAATTCTGGGAAAAACGGATGAGACATACCTGGGAATACTCAATCAGCAATCACACACAGAAAGACTAGTGTTGTGTCCAAAAACGTTTGCTACTGCTCCTCTCCTACCTCATAAGAGCATGGAGGAATTGAAGAGAGGAAAGTAGGAAGAGGAATGGAGAGAACAAGCAGAAACTAGGGAAATGAGACAGCTGACTCCTTTAAACGTCATTAAAGTTGATATCGACTACTGATGAACTGAGCTAATCACAGTATTTGCTGGAAAGCACACCTCTATACTGATTTGTGGGATTTTGTACTTCGAGTCTTTGTTTTATTTTACACCCTGTACAAAGTACACAACACAAAAAATACAAACATGAGACAAAATTAAAAATGTGTAGCTGAATTTCTCCGTGTTTGTCCGTCCTCTCTGGTCATATCTGCAGTGATGTCACTCTAGAGTCTGTACAAGTCTTCCTGGGTTGCATGCACCCATTTATCCTCTGCTGGAAGTCTGGTGTGTCAGTACTGCTCCCCCTGGTGTCTGCGGGGCCTAAACAACTTAATTATCCTGCTTATATCGAGAAACGGCCCTGCTTGTTAGCTACATCAGCCTTGTAGCTCCAGTGTAAAACTAAAGAAGCAAAGTACACCGATCAGGCATAACATTATGACCACCTCCTTGTTTCTACACTCATTGTCCATTTTATCAGCTCCACTTACTATATAGGTGCACTTTGTAGTTCTACAATTACAGACTATAGTCCATCTGTTTCTCCGCATACTTTGTTAGACCCCTTTTACCCTGTTCTTCAGAGGTCAGGACCCCCATGGACCCTCACAGAGCAGGTACTATTTGGGTGGTGGATCATTCTCAGCACTACAGTAACACTTATGTGGTGGTAGTGTGTCAGTGTGTGTTGCGCTGGTTTGAGTGGATCAGACACAGCAGTGCTGCTGGAGTTTTTAAACACTGTGTCCACTCACTGTCCACTCTATTAGACACTCCTACCTTGTCAGTCCACCTTGTAGATGTAAAGTCAGAGACGATAGCTCATCTGCTGCTGCACAGTTTGTGTTGGTCATCCTCTAGTTCTTCATCAGTGGTCCCAGGACACTGCCCACAGGATGCTGTTGGCTGGATATTTTTGGTTGGTGGACTATTCTCAGTCCAGCAGTGACGCTGAGGTGTTTAAAAGCTCCAGCAGCACTGCTGTGTCTGATCCACTCAGACCAGCACAACACACTAACACACCACCACCACGTCAGTGTTACTGCAGTGCTGAGAATGATCCACCACCCAAATAGTACCTGCTCTGTGAGGGTCCATGGGGGTCCTGACAACTGAAGAACAGGGTAAAAGGGGTCTAACAAAGTATGCAGAGAAACAGATGGACTACAGTCTGTAACTGTAGAACTACAAAGTGCACCTATATAGTAAGTGGAGCTGATAAAATGGACAATGAGCGTAGAAACAAGGAGGTGGTGATAAAGTTATGCCTGATTGGGATATAGCTTGGCTGATTAGCAGCATTAGCTCATCTCGATTGTTTCCCCCTCTCTCCAGGATGGGATGTGCCAGTTTAATCCAAAGAATGCTAAGGCTACCTGCCAAGACTACATTATATTGCGCGGTGGAAATGAGAACAATCTGCAGTATGCTGTAGCTGTAATCGGACCCATTTCTGTAGCCATAGACACGTCCAGACCCACCTTTCAGCTCTATCATTCAGGTAACCCTCAGGAACAAGCCTTCACTCACCATCAGGGGCTAAGTTAGAATTTCAGAGCCATGTTTTTTTTTTTTAATGATACTCTTTGTCATTCCTGGGTAATGGTTGAATGTTCTAATGGCAGGTGTGTATGATGAGCCATCCTGCAGCAGCATTAATCTGACACACGCTGTCCTGATTGTTGGTTACGGCACTGACAACCTCAGACAGGACTACTGGCTGGTCAAGAACAGGTAAACAAACAAGCTAACCAATTATCAAAAAGGTGATTCCTGACCACAACAGTTGAATATCCATATATGTATCATTATTAAATATACAATATATCATTTACTTTGAAGCTGGGGTGCTCAGTGGGGTGAAGAAGGCTACATCAAGATGTCAAGGAACAAGGATAACCAGTGTGGCATTGCCACAGTGCCCATCTTCCCTGTGGTTTAAAGGTATGACTTACAGGGTTTCAGTGCCAATCACAGAGATTTACACTTTTAGGTTTAGTTCCAGCTGCCCTTGGACAGAAGTTGCTCTTGGAGGTCTAGTGTTACAACTCCTTTCTACTGTCCACACAGAATTTAGTCTAGTCTAGGGGAAAAGAGGTAGCAATAGAAAAACAAATAGACCAGAACACAGAATTAATGCTCAAGTGAACAGGTTGTATTATGTATAAAGGCAAACAGTCACAAAGGTATTGACTTCAGGGTGGGCTGACGTCAAAATAACAAACAAAACCTCTAAAGCCATCCCTTGAATCTACCTTCCCTAATCCAAATGAAAATATAAAAAGAAAATACAGCACAATCTCAACAGGTAAACAGGAGAAAATAATATATATCAAAATAAATGGCACCCACTCCTACATAGTTGTGACTTCTAAGGTATAGTAATAAGGAACAGGCAATACAGTGCAAGTATGAAATAGATAAGAGCTAAACAAGAGTCTCAATCACTAGCACAAACATCAAAAATCTAGTTCATAAGTCTAACTGGTCTATAGTTCCAAAACAACCAGGTGAACAACATTAAGGGAGCAGCAAAAACCACAGCTTTCCTAGAGACCACCATGGACCACATGGTGAAAATACCACAAGCCAGCTGTATCCCACCAGATCAGCTGATCCAAACAGCTCCACCTAGGAAACAGAGAAAGAAAGACAAAACAAAAAAGACCAGCAGAGGGCAGCAGAAGAAGCGACCTGGGCATAACACTAGTCAACATACACCAATCAGGCATAACATCATGACCACCTCCTTGTTTCTACACTCATTGTCCATTTTATCAGCTCCACTTACTATATAGGTGCACTTTGTAGTTCTACAATTACAGACTGTAGTCCATCTGTTTCTCTGCATACTTTGTTAGCCGCCTTTTACCCTGTTCTTCAGTGGTCAGGACCCCCATGGACCCTCACAGAGCAGGTACTATTTGGGTGGTGGATCATTCTCAGCACTGCAGTAACACTGACGTGGTGGTGGTGTGTTAGTGTGTGTTGCGCTGGTCTGAGTGGATCAGACACAGCAGTGCTGCTGGAGCTTTTAAACACCTCAGTGTCACTGCTGGACTGAGAATAGTCCACCAACCAAAATTATCCAGCCAACAGTGTCCTGTGGACAGCGTCCTGTGACCACTGATGAAGGACTAGAGCATGACCAACACAAACTGTGCAGCAGCAGATGAGCTATCGTCTCTGACTTCACATCTACAAGGTGGACTGACAAGGTTGGAGTGCTTAATAGTGTGGACAGTGAGTGGACACAGTGTTTAAAAAGTCCAGCAGCACTGCTATGTCTGATCCAGTACAACACACACTAACACACCACCACCATGTCAGTGTTACTGCAGTGCTGAGAATGATCCACCACTCAAATAATACCTGCTCTGTGAGGGTCCATGGGGGTCCTGGCTACTGATGAACAGGGTAAAAGGGGGCTAACAAAGTATGCAGAGAAACAGATGGACTACAGTCTGTAATTGTAGAACTACAGAAAAAAGAGAACTTTGTGCTCCTGAGTGTGTGTAGATTCTGTTCTTACCTAAGAACAAATCCCAAATAAGAAAACATTGGTGAATGTCAGAATCTTTGTCAAAAACTACATAAGTGGGTTTTAAAATTCTTCTTAAGAAGGGTATGAAGGTACATTTTGAATCACTTTAATACAACAATACAGATGCAGCAGTTCATGTGACTTAATTCTATTAAATGTTGTTTTTCTACAGATTGGAGAGGCATCATGAAACCCTCAAGGAGGAGATTACAGTCTGATCAGATCTGTTTTATTTAATGATGCAGAAAAAAAAGTCAGCACTGTTTTCCTTTATCTTTTGCATTTTTTAATTGTTTTTAACTTTTCTTGAATTTTTAATTATCAGCTTTTAAAGTTGTGAAATGTTACTGTTTCTGATTGGTAAACATATCTAATAAACTCTCAGCATTCACAGAATTCATAACATGCATAACTGCTCTGATTATTGCTGTGCTTATGTTCAGTAAAATATTTTAAAATGCAGTAAAGTCATCAGTCATCAGATCAGGTGTTCATTATTTCATCAAATACTTTACTTCAACAGAACAGTTTTGCCCACGTCATAATCCGTATTATAAAACTAGAACTGATAATAGCTGATTGATTGAAACATCCATCTGTATTAGAACCAAAGACGATTTACAAGGAGCCTGGCCACTTCCTATTTCTCCCATTGTACCAGAAAATGACTGACAAACACTAGAGGGCACCTGCAAGAAAGTCATCAGTGAATCAGTGGAGCTAAATGGCTTAAAATGAAAAATTATAATGGTAGACATTATTGAGTGGCATTTCCCCTTATTAGAAATTCTCTGGTATAATTACACCGCATATACAGTTCAGGGCTGGGTTTAGTAAGCTTTACCTGTCTTGTCTCACTAACATTTTTACTCACTTTTTTTTTTTAATTTGAACTATGATTTTGTTCTGTGGTTGCCTTTTTCTCCAATAAAGCCAGATGCTATAACTTCTGGCCTCCAAAATCCAAAATAACATCTGGGACAAAATGGGAAATGTGCTTGTATCCAACAGTATTAACAGTAAAGTAAAGATTATACCACTGTGCTTTCACCTGCTTAGAGTGCTGGTCGCCGTAGCAACAGTCTCATCTAGCTAGTATCTTACAAAAAGAGAAAGATTTAAGATGCGCATGGATAATTTAGAGACAAATGGACTGATTTGCATTAATAATTTGCAATGAGAAACTGTCAGACACTAAAGTCGCGAAGCTGAAGTCAGCTTCTCATTCAAATTTTCCCATTCCACCTTAAATGGTGCAGCAGGCACCATTTGGGGAAAAATCGAACAAGAAGCTGGTGAATGAGAAGCTGACTTCAGCTTCGTGAAAAGTAGAAGGTTAAGAGACATTTTACAAGAAGCTGTTCTACTTTGGAAAAGTTTCCTGCCAGAGATAAGAGAAAAGCAGCTATAGCTGAGTTAAAGATTAAAGCAGTCCAAAGTAAGTATGTGTTTTTGTTCATATTAAATTTGTTAGCCTATACTAGGATATGTGCACTGATTACATTAGAGGAGAGTGAGAGAGGCTCCTAATCAGCAGGACAGCAGTTAAGTGCAGTGTGTATAAGGTGGAGGTGGTGGTTGGTCCGAGTCTTTAGGGCTCTCATTCTTGGTCTCTGCTAAGATGGAAACTGATGGAAGAGAGAGAGTGATCGGGGTGTGAGAAGTCAGCCAAGATTTTCCCCGCCCTGTTCCTCATCTTAGATGAGTAAAGTTCTTGATGGTGGAGATCCGACAGATTGATTTAGGATGAAACACACACACACATTTTTTAAACATTTTCTCTATCTTACACCTGTCAACTTTTTTATCCAAAGTTGTGTGGGCCTGGTAACTTTTTTTCCTCCATAATTCAGTGGATGAGAAAAAAGTAAACAAAGTCATTCAGTGGTTTGGTGTGAAATAGTTCATTGTTTTTTTTCTTTCCAGTGGTGGTGAGAGGAACCAGCCTGCATGTATAAGTCCACAATGAATGGAGTTTAAGGCCAAAATCTTCTCAAAGGTATCATAAAACAATGTCTCAGACATCAGGCTGTGAATTCATAACCATTTCATGTAATAACTTTCTGTGAGGGAGCTTTTAGAGGTGGACATCTAGTTCCTATCACCTTGCATTGAATTTAGGGTGACTGTGTATTTGAGTTATCAGTAAATTTAAGATGGCAGTGTATTTAGGATATCAGTAAATTTAGGCTGGAAGTGAATTTAGGGTGGCAGTGAATTTAAGGTTGCAGTGAATTTATCAGTAAAATTAAGGTGGCAGTGCATTAAAGTTATGACCACGTTTAAGATGGCAGTGGATTTAAGAAAGCAATATAAGGTAGCAACTAGAAACACATCCACCTTAGATATTGCAGCAACCGCCTAGCAACATCTAATCAAAACTTTAGCAACCATCAACAGTCTTCTTCCATTTTAATGTCATTAGTTGGCTTTTTAATGCCAACTTAAAGTTTGTTCACAAACTTTCCCTTTCTAGTAATTTATAATTTTAATTTTTATTTTAATTTTATATCTTAATTTATATGAACACATATTAAGACAAAACACATTTTTTATTTTTTTAATGTTTTTAAGGAGCAAAGTTATCCAACAGGCAAATCAACTATGTGAAAAAGTAATTGACTTTTAGCAGCATTTTTAACCAACATTTCTTATAACCTGATAGCAGCCTTTTACACTGCTGTGGAGGAACCTATTCTCACTGAAAAGATGCTTTAAATTAAATATTTTGTAGGTTTTTGAGCATGTTGAGCAGCTGACCTCAGGGTTCTGCCTCAGAATTTATATTGGGATCATGTCAGGACTTTGAAAAGGCCACTACACAACATCCACTTTGTTTCTTTTAAGCCAATCAGATGGATTTGCTTTACTGTTTTGGATCTCTGTCTTGCTGCATAATCCAATTGGAGAAGTTGTGGCAGATCAGTCACTCCTGGGAAGAAGTAGCATGGTCCTTCTGTACTAAATAATTTTAGATCAATTTTAAACCTCTTCTTTTTTTAAGTAAATCTTAGAAAAAACTGTTTTCAATTAAATGTGTATCTAATATCAAACAAGTTATATGAGAAGTTTCTATCAGGTTTCATTCTAACCATAGTACTGAGACAGCATTGCTTAGCATTGTGAATGACCTCAGGCCCAGTGCTGATGTACAAAACCCTTCAATTCTGGTTTTATTAGACCTTAGTGCAGCTTTTGATACCATTGACCACACGATCCTAATCAAACATCTTGAATGCTGGGTCAGCCTCTCGGGCACAGTTTTAGAATGGTTCAAATCATATTTATGTAATAGACAGTTCATGGTTTCAATGGGAAATCATTCATCAAAAAGATTTGGCATTTCTTGTGGAGTCCCTCAGGGTTCAGTCTTAGGGCCTTTGCTTTTCTCTTTGTACATGCTACCTCTAGGTGATGTCATTAGGAAACATAATATACATTTTCATAGCTATGCTGATGACACACAGTTCTACATTCCCATTCCTTCTGATGATGAAGACTCTGTAGTCAGACTAACCAGCTGTGTGTCAGATATTTCTGTGGATGTCACAAAAATTTCTACAATTAAATCACAAAAAAATGGACATACATCAAGAACAGAATTTTGTGAATGTTTAGAGTTTATTAGATATTGTTATCAGTCAAAACATTAATATTTCACATGGATTTTAATTTTTTAGACAATGCTTTTGCTGCATATGTAAATAAATGGTAGTCTGATTGATCAGACTGTAACCTGCTCTGTGGGGCTTTCTGGTTCTGTCTCTCTCCAATCTGTAGAAAAACAACATTTAATAGAATTGACTCATGAACTGCTTTATCTTCAATGTTGTGTTATAGTTAGAGATACAACATATTCATTGATGTAGTTCAGTTCTAATTCTGGAGATCCCATCCCACCTCCAGGAGATCCACTGACCTGCAGAGCTCAGTTTCAACTGGAATCATACACACCTGTTCCAGTCTTACACTGGTTACATACAACAGACAAGTAAATGAAGTGAATGTTCTTATGGGGAGATTCTCAGATTTTTGGTTGTTGTAGGTCATTAGGAACATGCAGTTATCAGACACAAACTAATGTTTACATTTAATTAATGTTTTAATTGTAGTTTAGACATTTCAGGTGACTTGACCACATACAGAAACCTGAAAAACTCCAAGAGCAAATTCTGAGCACTGGATCTTAATGACCACCTGAAAAGGGTGGTTGGAACTGAACCCAACAGTGCAGATCTCTGTGGATGAGGACTGGAACCCCTGTAATGAAGTTATACCTTTAAACCACAGGGTAGACAGCATATGTGGCAATACCACACTGGTTATTCTTGTTCCTGGACATCTTGATGTAGCCTCTATCACCCCAGTTAACACCCCAGCTGCAAAATAAATTACTGTCAGGGTTGTATATTTAGAGCAAGTATCTGCTTTGAAGTCTCATTTTGATTTTTTACTGAAAGCAATCATATTTATTATATTATATCAATTCATTTTAATCTATTTCAACGAAAACTGTAACCCAACAAATGTTACTGTTTAATATTAATCAGGCATTGAATTTGTTTTTACTAAAGAATTCACAGTACTGCTTACAAACAAAGTAAGTTTCATCTGGATAAGAAGCCTTAACCCCAGTGTGGGAAACACAGTGTCGGCTAGTTGCTAGCTAGTTGCTAACATAACATTGGAAACTGCATAAAAATGCTAATGCTCAATTCGTATTATTGTAACTATGGCTAAAGGTTCAAAAGCGTCCTACAGATAGTATTCAATTGACATCACGCTTGTCACGAACGCCATGTTTTTGACAGCGGCACTCATAAAGCCATCTTCATTGTACAGCATTACACTGCAAAAAATATCTTAGCAAGTGTAAACATCTCAAATGTGCTCAATATATCTACTATTTTTAAATAAAGACTGTCATAAGAATATTGCAAGATTATTAAACTCATTTCTAGACATTTTTTTACTCAGTATTAAGCAGGTTTATCTTATGAAAGCATATTGTTCCACTGGCAGATCACTTTACTTGTTTGAAGCATTGCTTCTTGAAATAAGCAAAATTATCTTTGTTATTTCTTAAACAAGTAAACTAATCTGACAATGGAATAAGACGCTGTCACTAAATTATTTAAATTATTTTAAACAAGTAAAATGTACAGGAGGAATAAGCTTATAATATTTTTACAATAGTCTCATAATGGGACTTCTTCTACTCTGAAGAGCTGAACCTAAATGGAAAAGCCTGAAATTTGACACCCAAATACTGCAAAATGAGTTTTATGCTAGGAGGTAGAAAAGAGGAGATCTATACTTGGGTTACAGCAAACTATTAGAAAAAGGGATTTTTTTTAAGTTGCCTGGGGCCGAATACAGCCTGTTACTACAGCACAATAACTTGTGCATAAGCTGTGTGCTCTTCCATAGCGGTAAACACTACAATATCTTTGAAAGTCTGGTAACACTTTCTTTGAAGGGTGTCTACATAACACATTCATATCACCTTACATAAACACTTCATAACATGTTCATGAATGCTTAAATCAACATTCATAAACTATACATGTTTTACATGTTATTAATATGGACTACTATGTCATTTTCCCGAAAGATGTTTTTCACAATAAAAGTCCTTATTTTATTTATTATTTTCAGTGAAACTCCTCGTTTCTGGACTGTCAGCATAAAATGACCTGGCTTTATCCCTTTGGACAGAAAGTGTTTTGACACTTTTTGCCTAGACTTTCAACTTTTTTTTATTTTTTTTCTCAAGCATTTGTATTTTGCAATACGCTATTCTTTCTGCTTTTTAAACTAATTATTCATATATAAAATGTACTGTTCATTCAACACTCTATAGATAATTGTGGAAAATGTTACTTAAACTAAGTTTAACTTTCTTGGGGTAAATGCTAACACTGTTATCCCAATTACCAATTAGGTTTTATTTTTAGTGATGTTCTTCCTCACTTACGGTTTTGGAGAAGGCACAAGTATGCATTAGTTATCCTGTGTAACTGAGGTTAAATGTGACAAGCACTGTTATCACTTTTACAGACACTTTTAAAATCTGCCCTGGTGAAGCTCTGACTGAAAAAGAGTGACATGGATCCTTCCGTACTAAATAACCGTAGACTAATTTCAAACTATCCTTTTTTAAGTGTTAGAAAAAGTTGTTTTCAAAGAATTAAATGCATATCTAATATCAAACAAGTTATTTGAGAAGTTTCAATCAGGTTTATGTTCTAGCCACATTACTGAGACAACAATGGTTTGCGTTGTGAATGACCTCAGGCTCGGCGCTGACACACAAAATCCTTCCATTCAGGTCTGATTGAAACATAGTGCAGCTTTTGAGACCATTGACCACAAGATTCTAATCCACCATTTTCAACTCTGGGTAGACCTCTCAGACACAGTTTCTTGGTTTCACTCGAAATCATTCATCAAAAAAAGTTCAGTTTTAGGGCCTTTGCTTTTCTCTTTGCACATGTTACTTTCAGGTGAGGTCACTAGGAAACATACATTTTCATAGCTATGCTGACAACACACAATTTCCATTCCTTCTGATAATCAAGACTCTGTAGACAGGCTGACCAGCTGTGTTCAGATATTTTTCACAAAACTTCTACAACTAAATCACGAACAAACTGAAATATTGATCGTTGGTTCTAAAACTCAGAGAAAGCTGCTTTATGAGAAGATCAGCTCTTTACCTTCATATATCAAACCTAAAGTAGGAAACCTGGGTGAGACTCTGAGCTCTGCTTTATCTGGCATGTAAACACAGTCACTAAAGCAGCTTTTTATCATGTGAGAAATGGTGCTAATGTTCAGCCTTTTCTCTCTCAGATCGGTGCAGAGAAACTCGTTGCCGCATTTGTTCAGCAGAGTTGATCACTGTAATGATCTTCTTACTGGGGAAAACAATCCATCCTCTACAACTCGTACAGAACGCAGCAGCACGGATCCTTACAACACCAACACAGAGAGCTCATATCACCCCCGTTTACACACTGCAGTGGCTGCCTGGATCTTTAAGGGGAGATTTTAAAGCTCTGCTGCTGGTTTTTAAAGCTCTAAATGACCTTAAAGCTCCTGAATGTCTGTCTGTTTATGATCTTAGATCTGCAGATACTGACCTTCTGCAAACACATTTCATAAAATACAGAAAACATGGAGAGACGCTTTCTGTTATTCTGCTTCTAAACTGTGGAGCTCAGTTCACCTTTTATTAGACAGTCAAGCTCAGAGCTCACTTTTAATAAACATCTGAAAACGCAGCACTTTAAATCATTAAAACTCTATATCTCTTTGGTGTTTATCTATTTAATCTGATCTGTCTGCGTTATATGTTTTTAAATACTCATAATAACATTATTATTATTATTATTATTATTATTATTATTATTATTAAACACATTATTTTCACAGAACTTTACTAACTGTTTTTATTACCTGTTTAATAAACTGTGGAGCTTCTAATCTGAAGATTGTGGACATTTTGTCATGTATGTAACAAGCAGAGATGAGAACTCCAGACTTTTAGCCAAAAAATGTGAATAAAACTGATTTTATGCAGTCATTACTGCAGCACTGTTCTCCTTCAGATTGCACCAGCATTAGGTTCAATATGGCTTCAGATAACAAGCCTTTTATTGTAGAATAATCTTCTGTCTGCACTGTACTGTTGAAAGAACTTTCAAAGAAACTTCAATGAACAGTTATCAGAAATAAACTCTTGAATTTAGCTTACAGTTGTACGGTGCAGAGGGTAACACTGCTGCCCTCCATCCAGCAGACTGAGGTTTGATTTCCTGCTTGGGACAGAACCAAGAGTCCTTAGGCAAGACACATAATGCTAATTTAACATGAAGAGAGTGTAAATTACTGTAAATATTTATTTAAACAAATAAACCTTAATAAGGATGACTAAATTTATCAGCTGTTGAGAAAATTAACAAAATCTTATGTTGGCTTGAAATTTTAAGTCCTCCCAAAAATTTATTTTATATAGTCAGACGGACAGAATGAGTCCAGAATTTTGTTTGGATAGCAACTATGCTAGCTAATGCTCTAGCTATTACAGCTGAAAGACATCATCTAACCTAAAAGAGTTTTAATAAGTTACCAGTCACATTTCAGCTGTATAAGTTATTGCGCTGGCTTAGTAGTTTACATGCTATATAAACTATTGACAATCTACCTGTTTCAAACGAAGCTGAAGTTGGCTTCTTATTCACAAAAATATTTTCCATTCCACCTCAAATAGTGCAACAGTTACATTCTACCACCTGTACACCCACCAGAATGCAACATTTTCATGACTTAAGGTGGAACAGAAAGACTCGACCGAAGGACTTGCAAGCCAGACCCTCGAGACTCGCATGAACTGATTTGCTCTTTACCCACCACCACCAACCTCCACCACAAGCTAATTCACAACCTCTATGTTTATAAGATCTACACTACACTAGAATTTATTATATTTTTTACAACACATTCATTGATGTAGTTCAATACTAATTCAGAGATCCCATCTCATCTCACCTGAGATCAACTGACCTGCAGAGTTCAGATTCAACTGGAATCACTAAAACCTGCTCTCGCCTTACAAAGTTTATTTATTTATTTATTTATTTTTATTTATTTTTTTGAAGTGTTACCAGTTAACTTTGTATCTGCAGCACTATAAATGATTTTTACACTTAGAAGCTGACAAGAAGGCAAGTAGGTCTACTAAGTAAAACCGATTCATATGTTGATTGTTGTCATATGATAATAAAGGCTAAGGTGAACATTACTGAATGCATGAAAACTCTTGGCTAACTAAAGCTTATTCCATATTTGTGGACATTTATCTGATTACAGCCTATTTTTTTCAGTGTGTTAATGGCTGCTATCTAAATGGCTAGTATCTAAAGCTTCTCAGCAGCTGACACAACAGGCTTTAATGTTCTCCAGTTTTAAACTCAGCTCTGTCATACAGTTATTAATTTGGGCTGGGTGCGAGAGTGAGGCCAGTTGTGCTCCCTTGGACTCCCAGCCATGGATGAATGCAATTTAGCATGTTTGGGTAACCAGAGCAATACTGACAGGTCCAATGACCTGAAAAAAGTAACATTTGACTAGAGAGTTTTCAATGGTCATTCAAACTTCTAATTATTTGCACCCCACATCTGGTTTCTAAAAGTCTGCATGAGCGTCTGAAAGAGGCAGCTGGAACTGAACTCAACAGTGTAGATCCCTGTGGATGAGGACTGAAACCCCTGTAACGAAGTTATACCTTTAAACCACAGGGTAGGAGCCTCTTGTGGCAATACCACACTGGTTATTCTTGTTCCTGGACATCTTGATGTAGCCCTTTTCACCCCAGTTTACACCCCAGCTGCAAAACAAATGTTGGATATTTTTTGTCTTCTGAGTAAAGCACATTTCCCTACATCCCTGACTGTTATGTGATCAGGAATTGTCTTCTTTATTGTTTAGCTAACTTGTTTACCTGTTCTTGACCAGCCAGTAGTCCTTTTTGAGTGCGTCAGTGCCGTAACCAACAACTAGCACAGCATGAGTCACCTTATTGTTGCTGCAGTCTGGCTCATCATACACACCTACAATTCATACATTATCTACATTATTCATACATTAGCATCTATAACATTTGTGCTAACAGACTAATAGCACAAAGGAACATAAAGAGGAGAACATCTGAAACATTATTATTATTCAAAAATTAACTGGCTTGATGTTCAGAACGGATTTACATCAAAATTAATTCTGGAATCTATTTTTGCATTAATTCAGGGAAATATATTAGGCATCTTGATGTTAAAGCAGCAGAATTTCATGTCTAATGAGACAGAGATCTTAGTGACAGAAGATGTCCCTTCAGATGAGCTAATGCTAAATAGTCAGAGAGCAATGTTACATTAGTTCCTGAGGAGGACTCATTGTCTTTTATGTGAGGTCTGTCAGCAAGTTTTAATGAAATAATACACAGAATTGCATGTGTATGAGTGCATTAATATTTATCTTTACACGGTGTTTATAATCCCAAATGTGAGTGTGCTACAGTCCTGTTTAATCTGGTAACTGTCAGCAGCTAAGCTAAGAAGCACCAACTAGTTCGATTAACTATAGATGACAATCCTAAAATTGTTCTGTAGCCAATAAGTAAGTATAAGTCTACCTATGAATAGTTTTGACACTGAGCTGTTTGAGCTGAGAGTTTGGTTTTGCAAAGCTTTTTCCATTTCAGGAGTGAAAAGAAAAGAAACAAAAATACACGTATGTCTCAAACACAGCATATTGTAATGAGTACAGCAGGACTGGTTTCTGAGGGTTACCTGACTCATAGAGCTGGAAGCTGTGTGGGAAGGCATTTATAGATACAGAAATAGGTCCAATTGTGGCCACGGCGAGCTGCAGAGCGTCTTCTGTGGGCTTCGCCTTTTCATAGCCTGAGCACTTAGCCCAAGCTTTCTGTTTTTTAAACCTGCACAGCCCTGCCTGAGGAGAGATGGAAACAATCAGGATGGGTTGCCACTGTAACGTCCAGGTGGCCTGCTAGGATGGAGTAATTAGAGCTGAGCGGTGAGAGCTGTGGACGCCTTACTTAAGGGGTGCCCACACACTCAGTCTTGAGTTCACCTTACCAGAAACACCTCACTCTGACTCATATCTGGTAACCTTGGTAAAACAATCTCTGACATTGAGTCTTGAGTATTGCCTCTTTTGAGCTACTCCCCAGCGTAAGTATAAAGAGGAAAAGAAAGAGGAAAAGAGTATCTTTTATTTGTTCAAGAATCTCTTAGTGAAAGAGGATTTTGTTTTTTTTTATTTTGAGAAGCTCTTAGTGATTTGAGAATGTTCTTTGTAAACCCTTTAGTTGGCATCACCCCCACTCTTTCAGGTGGTGTGTGGTACAGCACATTGGTTCCACAATGTAAAGGTCAAGTTTTGATCCTCCCTGGTGACCAATCTCATTTTTTTGTTTATTACACTTATGTTCAAGTTCTTAGTTGAGTTATAATTTCTTCTCAAGCCTTTACTGCTCTGCACTTGAGGCCAGCCTCTAGTGCCCGCCGTGTGGTATGTCTCTTGGTGCTCAGGTTTACCATTACAAAGGTTGTGCCTCACACAGGGTGAACCAACTGATGTGTTTCAGCTACTCTTCTGGTTAAAAGTCCAAATGGATAGTTTCAAAAATCAAATGTACAAAAATTTCCTGTCACTTCAAATATATATGAACAGACAAACAAACATGACCAAAACAAAAAAGTTTTTCACTGGAGCTGCATGCCCAAATCATCACATGCTTCTTTGCAACACTGGTGTAAAAATGGATGAAATGTTTAGACAATATTCAAAAAGGGTACAGTTGGCTTTCATTACTTGTTAGTTCCATTAGCATTGTAGCTCCACTGTAAAGTATATAAAGCAAACTTCAATAACTACTGGCATCATTAACTACGGTAGCCTCACCTTGGCTTGATATGGATAGGTGCTTGCTTTCTCCAGGCCTCCACTGGACTTGATGTACTCAAAGGCCTTGTATGCCAAAACACTGGTACAGCCATGGTTTCCAGAACTCCAGGAGCAGTCCACCAGCTGTTGCTCACTCAAACTGACCAGCTTCTTTTTCTTCTTGAACATCTGACCCTCGAGTGCACCCGTCTGAGAGAGAGAGATAATAGAAAACAAAGGGAGGTGAAACAATGGAAATGCTAATAGTGTGTTTTCCTAATAAAATAATGCTCTATTTAAAGTTCCCCTCTTCCACAGCAACCCTACTCTTACTTTTACTTTTACCTGTGTTCATCCACAAGCTGATAAGATGAATATTATTGATATCTTTACCTTATTTGTTTCCATAAGCAATATTTATGCGAGTTCCTTCATTGCACTGGTAACTTGGTCAGCTACCTCAGATTTCAGGATTGTATTTGTTAAAAATAATTATTACAATAAAACATTCTGAACTTTATCGCAATTTGCATGCAGTAAAGGCCCATGTGTGCTTGGTTCAGAGCGTAATTTGTATTTTTATATTTTAAAAATCTGCAGTAGCTCTGCTTTGTTTAAGTGAACGCTATATTTTCATTACAGCTGCTGGTCACTTTAGGGATGCTTCGCTTAAAAACATGCAGGTTGAGGTGCAAAGAGGAAAAGTGTGTGAGAGTTTTAGGCCAGTTCTGAACCCCAAAGCAAACTAATACTTTTGTGTGTGCCTTTAAACAAAGATTGCTTTAATGTAATAATGAAGTTTATCAACCATTATATCTCCTCCTCAGTGGGGGAATGAATGGCTGTAATGAAAGACAGTAAAATTGTCCAAATATATGGGGCGCATGTATGACAGTAATATTCTTATTCTCTGTCCCACCTGTTTTGCACAAAAAATATTTCTGATTTATTTTACACAAGTCCAATTTGCTAAAAATAGAAGCCTGTGGCAGCACCTCAAAGGCAGAGGTCATGAGGGGTAGGGGTAGCAGTCCTTGACCGTGATCTTATTTATGTCCCAGTAGTCAATACAGGGCCGGAGACCCCATCTTTTTTTCCTACAAAGACAAACTCTGCTCCTGCCGGAGAAGCAGAGGGTCAGATGAACCAATGGGCAACGTCCTCTGGAATGTACTCATCCATGGCCTCACAATCAGGACCAGACAGTGAGAACAATTCAGCCTGGGGAGCTAATACCAGGGAGAAGGTCTATGGCAATGTTGTAAGACTGATGGAGAAGTACGAGCTGGGCCTTCTTATTGAAGACCTTTTGGAAGTCCCAGTACTTCGGGGGCATTTGAGAGTGGTCAGGGCTATCCTGACCAGAAGATGGGGGATTTGTTACACAAAGGTTGCAATTAAACTAGAAGTAGGTCTGGCAGTGGGGGCTCCATGAAAGGAGTGAACGAGTAAGCCAATCCAGATGAGAATTATGGTGTTGGAGAAAAGGAAGGCCCAACACTGACTGCAGATCTGTTGCACTGATCAGAAAAAGGAGATCTGCTTTGTGTGCTGCCCAGTCTGCAGCAAGAGTAGCCTAGTCTGAAGAGGGACCGCCCTGACGGACTGTCCATCCTGATGGGATGGGGCATAATATTTGAGGTGGGCTTACAGAAGAACAGAAGCATCCAGCCTCTGGAGTCCTGCATCATTCCCACGGCCTATTGTTTAGTTAAGGGTTAACATGATCAACTCATCTAAGCTGAAATACTGGTCATGAGGAGCAAGTTGCTCCCTGAGCTCCTCCCTCAAACCTTAATGGAGGGCCATTAGTGCTGCCAAATTCCAGTCATGTTTGGTGGCTAGTGTGTGGGACTCTGCATAATCAGCCAATAACCTTTTTCCCTGACGGAGCCAGGAATCTCACCTCTGCAGACTGGGTGGTCATAGACATGGTGCACAGCTGCCATGAAAAGGTCTGCAGAGTTGTTGCTTCTCAAGTTGCTTCTCCCACATGGGGGTTGCCTAGATGAGGGCTCGCCCCATCAGGAGGTGAGTTTGGTGTGGTCAGAAAGATAGCTATGCAGAAAAGTACCTCATCCTGACTGTGATGGTGGATTTGTGATACTGTGAGACTGTTTTTCTTCCAAAGGCCCTGGACATTTTATTCAGATACATGGTATCAGGGAATGCAACAAGTACCAGCAGATATTAAATCAAAACCTGACTGCATGGTTCTTTGAGCGTTCATGGGTCCACATAGAACCACTGTCTTTACTAAAGAACTCTTGAAGAATCAGCGTACAATTTGCTTTGATTGTAGCTCAGATTGAGACAGAGTTACAAATAACTAAGCAATCCAATTTGAAAGTTTAGAAGTTTGGAATAAATCATATTTTCTTTTACTTACTATTGTTTTGAAAAGTAAAATACTGATTAAGGGCTGCATGTGTGAACAACACAAAGGCTGAACATTAGTGGTAAAAGTAACCTGGTAATGTTCCAGGTTTTGAGCATGACAAAGCCTTTGGTTAGCTGAGTGTGTTGAGGTTTAGTTTCATTTCCAGTCAGTGGTCAGCATAGGGTCACGTGACTGTGAGATTACAATATCTCTTCTTTTCATACCATGTTTTGTATGTATGTCACAAAGGCTGAACATGAGCATAGAGTCATATGAATATGAGATTACAGCATCTCTCCACATCATATTTTAAACATGCACTCAGATTTTATTTGTAAACCTCTGTTTAGAAAACGATTCATCATTCCCTCCTAAAAAAGGTACTTCATGTGGAAACAGGTTAACTGGTGTTATTCAACCCAAATAAATACTTCAAAATGAAACAATGCAAAGCTAAATTGTTGTTTAGATTACCCAAAACAATATTTTACATAATTTCCAAACATACATCACACCAATTTTGCTATTTTCTACTTTTTGCACTGTGTGGAATCAAAAGCCACAACAAAAACATAATTTGAGAAAAACATGCATTAAATCTGTCATGTGATCACTGGTAAGTTTATATTATTTTAGTAGGTCAAACATACAGCTGTTTATCATTAGCATAGTGATGACAGGTAAGGCTATGTTTATGTGTAACAGTATTGGAGCCTATATTATGAGAATAACAGCGATCCTAAAACAGAGCCTTGTAGTACACCATACAGTGCTTTTGTACAAGCAGAAGGTCTGCCGCTTAGATTTGTACAGATGTTCAGTCAGCTGTCAATCAGGAAGGATCTAAAGCTTCCCTGTGATTCCAAGAAAGTTATTATTATGATTTATGGGATCAAATACTTATAAAAGAAAATAAGAAATATAATGTAAGATGTTTATTTATTTTTTACCTTTCTGCCTGCCGCACCTCCTCTGGAGCTCTTGAGGGATCTCTACTCTTGATGAACTGAGACAGAAATGAGAAACAGGGAGGCAGTGGGGTGATGTTGGAGGTGCAAAATGGGTGGTTTGAAGGAAGACGAGTTTTATATACAGTCCTCCTCCCAAACTTTGATTATTTCATTACCCCATTTTGTGGCATTCTTTCTTCTGCCTGTAAAGACTGAAATGTAATGGACTGGTGCAACATAGGATTGTGAATCAGAATCACTTAATTGCACCCACATATAGTAGGAATTTGTTTTCGTGGAAATTCTGAAGTTTAGAGCATCTCATTAAGGAGCAATGAGATGATGAAAATTATTTCAAACAGCCAGTGCTGTCAGTTTTGAACAGTCTGTTTATTATTGTGATCTCAAACTAGCTTAAGTCCTTTACCTGATCTGAAGGACGCTTTCATCATGCAAAGAACCATTTAAGCATGCCTATGATTCTTTGAACGTTCATGTTTCTAAATAGAACCGTGGTTTTTGCTAAAGAACCCTTGAGGAATCATCTTTTTTAACACTTAAACAATTGCAGGTCAGATTGAGACATGAACCTTTCAATATAGAAGGAAAAGTGAATATAACCCCTTAAGTGGCCAGGATCCATGCGCACAGGCTTCTATAATTTAAGAATAACTAGTTTGCTTTGATTTTCATGTAAGGATTAACAAGCCTTAAGATGTAATAAGCCTGGGAGTTTAAAGGGTTAAATGAACAGTAGGTATTTTCCTTCTCCTGTAAAGGTTTTGTTCCAACAGCAGCAAAATGTTTGAAAGGAGAATAAAGAAGAAAATAATGCATAAAAGAATGTTGTGCTTTTGTGTGCAGGAAGGCATGCATGTCATGGGTTAACAGGCCTGATAGGGTGAGAAAGGAGGCTCTAAAGTGGGTCTGTCAGCAAGAAAGTTCACACAGACGTTTTAGTTCTGCTTCAGTTTCATAGAAAGGGTTAAACCCTAAACCTCAAACATCCTGTTTGACTGAATTGCACCTTGTTACATTCACCAAGTCTCTCTCTCTCTCTCTCTCTCTCTCGTCTCTCTATCTATCTATCTGTCTGTGTATTCTCAGACACTCTCTTTTTTTCAGTATTTTTTGTATTTTTGTGGTAAGTGGTAAGGTCTACACTGCGCACAGTGGCCACTACTGCACAAAGGCAATGCAGCATGAGCAGCAAAGCAGGACATTTGGAATTTCAGTGCTGAATTTAAGAAATGAAGTAGTTCATGCTGAGGTCTTCTTTCCGTCCTGTTTACTGACATTTTAATATAATCATAAAGTACCATTTAAGGGCTTCATGTGTGAATGACACCAATACTGAATATTATTGGTAAAAGTGACCCTGTAATATCCCAGGTTTCAAGTGTAACCTTTGCTTAGCTGAGTGTGTTGAGGTTTAGTGTCATTTCCAGTCAGTGGTCAGCGTGGAGTCATGTGACTTTAAGATTACAACATTTCTTCCTTTCACATCATGTTCTGTGTGAATGACACAAAGGCTGAAAATTAGCAGTACAATGACACATTATGTTTTAAACATGCACTCACAGATTTAATTCGTAAACCTCTGTAAAACTGGTTTATCAGTTCAACCTAAAAAGAGGTACTTCAGGTAGAAACAGGTTAACTGGTATTATTCAACACAAAATTAAAATGAAACAATGCAAAGCTAAATTGTAGTTTAGATTAACAAAAGCAATATTTTACATTAATTCCAAACACACATCAAACACTGCTCTTTTCTTCTTTTTGCAGTGTAAGGAATCTAAAGCCACATCAGAAACATTAGCACTGAGAACTTCTGAGCATTCCTTCATCTGCCAGTAAAGACTGAAATGTAATGGATT